CATATAGTGTAGAACCTTCGGGCAGACTACTTAAATTAGGTGACCAAAAGTTGCATGTGTGGCTATATGTACTCTTGTTAACTATGAATGTACTACTAAAATATTTAATAAAAATCCTTCCATGACATTGTGAAGGTATAAAAAAAAAAAAAAAAAGATAAAAATAATCTTATATTATTAATTGGATTACTATTTTGAGTAATTTGATTGATATAATAGAAAATTTAAATAAGTCTAAGTTTGAAAATAATTTTATATTATATAAAAAACAGGGTAGAAGAAAAAGTTAAAGTAAAAACAAAGTATTTTTTAAAAGATTTTTATAAAAAAATAAAGAGAGTTTTTTGTTAGTAATTTAGTTAATATTGGGTCAAAAATCTTCATTAAAGGCTTGTTTTAACTAAATGAATAAACTTAATAACTTATCTTAAGATTATTAAATAAGTTGTAAAAGCAGTTTTAGAGAAATAATTAAAGTTTTAAAACTAGAAGTAGATTTTATAGGATTTTGCTACAAGTTTTTAAGATAAAGCCTTAAAACTTTTAATTATATATAAAATTAAGAGCTAAACAAGTTTATTTAAAATGCCTAAAGTAATTATCTTAATAAAATATTGTGTTATTAACAATTTTTGACTAGTAAAATTAAGTTAAATTTGTATAAGTAATTAATAAAAAAAGTTTCAACATTAAATCTATGAATTTTACTAAAATGAACATATAGTGTTTTATACCTATGTATACATTATTTCAAAAACTAGCTGATTAATTGGTGTAAGGTGTTCTAATTAAAAATATTCTATGCTTCTCAAAAACCCTTCCCAATCCCTAATCCTAACCTTAATATAAACTTTGACGTGAAAAATTAGTGTTAAAAATTTTATATACAAAACTTTTAAAAACTTAAAAATTTTAAAAAATATAATAAAAACATATAATAAGTGCAAAACCATTATAGGTGCATTTTATAATAATTGATATCTATTAATAGCTATTGTATAATTATTGATAATTATTGATAATTATTAATCAACAATTAATTGATAAGAATTATTTATTTAGTAAATTAACAATCAATAACATTATTAATTAAAATCAATAAGGATATTTGATGATTATAAGCACCATCATCAATTTTTATTAATTAAATTTAATTAATAATAATTAATTAATTGTTAGTAATTGTAATTTATCAGCTTAAAAAATTTTTTGATATTATCTGAATTTATCTAAATATCTGTTTACAATTGATATCAAAATAATTTATTCAAATATTTGTTAAATTAACAACCCTAAATTAAAACTCAGTTAGCCAACCATGACTCATAAATTATATTATTATGCAAGTATAGATTTTTTTTCTTCTTGTTATTTTTTATATGTTATTATATAAGCACAACAATTCTGAATTAAACTCAGTTAGCCAACTTATAAATCATGATTATAATTATAAAATAACATCAATATTGGATCATGCGATAATAAATATTGCAAAATTTGTTCTGTCAAGACAAATGATTGGCTGAAATATGCTGCTATGTGGCACATGTCAACTAATTATTTCTTTGACAAAACAAGTTTTAGATATTAATCATGCATGACCAATATCTTATAAATTATAATTGCATAATAACACCAATATTAGATTATGTCATGATAAATATCACAAATATGTTATGTCAAAGCAAATAATTGGCTGAAACATACTGCTACACAGCACATATCAGCAAATCATTTGCTTTGACAAAATAAATTTTATAATATTAATCATTGCATGACCAATATCTTATAATTATTAGTAAATAGATATCTGAATAAATTTGGATATGGATAAATGGATCAGATTTACCTGAATTGGAATTCTAATTTTAAGAATTTTATTGAGCATCAGGAAATTTTGAAAACTGATTATAATCAGTTGCAAATGATTAATTAATTATAATTGTTTGCTTCAAGTGATTATAATCGATGGTGGTGTTGATAATCGGTTCATACCAAAATTGATAATAATGATAATCGATACAAATCTATATATCTCAATTGATTATAATCGATAGCTTTCTATATATATCAATTATAATCCATGAAAATCAGATTTTTTAATCGATTATAATCGAATTTTAAAATTTCCTGATGGAAGAATGCATGGATTTGTCACAAATATCAGCATCAACCAATTATTCAAGTAAAAATAGAAAACAAACGATGCAAGATTAGTACAGACAACACTGTAAATAACAAACAATACCATCAATAAAGAATAGTAAACTATACAAGTGACAATTGAAGAAGAAAGAATAATAAAATTAATAATAAAGAAGAGCAAACAATCCAAGTTTCAAGAATTAGTCACAGTCAATTATTTAAACATCGTAAAAATCGAGTGTATTATAATTTTTTAATAACTAGCATTTTCACAATTTTAAAAATGGCTAAGCTAATAATATCTTTGCCCAGCAAAAATAAAATTTCAAATATACAATATTTAATAATACTTTGTCCACCAAATACGGTTTTAAATATATCCGACCTAATAATGTCCTTCAGAGAAAGGTCAATTTTAAAAATATCGACCTAATAATATCATGGCTAAACAAATAACTATTTTAAATACATCCAACCTAATAATGTCTTTGTCAAAAATAATTGTTTTAAATACAAGTTTAAATACGTCTGAACTAATGTTGTTTTGCTGAGAAATATACTTTTAACTTCTTTGCCCAACTAATAACAATTCTAGCCAAATCTAATAAATATCTGCATTTAAACATTTGCACAGGTCTATATGAAAACCACATAATATAGACCGTGCAAATAAATTTTTGAAAAATACACGGGTTGTCACATAAGACCCGTACGATAAAAGAGCTTATTAAAATTTTTATATAGAACACGATTTTGTTTGTGCTTTGTGGTGTAATTATTTCCGCGAACTTTAAATAGGTTACAGTTTTAACAATTTTAGGATAAAATTTTGCAAAGACTGAAATTATGTATTTTGGGGACCCGAAAGTGTAATTGTAGCCAGAGACTATTTGTATATCCAATTGTTATAAATAGGAAAAATCAAACAAATGAGGTGTCCATTTTGTCAACCTATAATACTACCTTTCTGATAGATCTGATAGAAAACTCGACTCATTCGGATGTTGATTTAATATTTATACATTGTTATTTACGTTATTGTTATTTACATTATTGTTATTTTCATTATTGTTTTTTTTGTTTTTATCTATTTCCTTATTAATTTTAAGAAAAAAGTCAAATATACTCTTATAATAATTTTTAATTTTTTTCTTGTTTTCTTGAACTTGATTAATTTTCTGTTGAACTCGTTCAATTTCCACTTGAATTTGACCATTTTCCTCTTGCAGAAGTTTTAAAAACATTATTTGACGAATACCTATCTCGATTTGATTAATATCTACTATAAGTTCGTCAATTTTGACTTCATTTGTCTCTTGTTCTGAATTGTTTACTTTATCAAAAAGTTTTTTAACTCGTTTAAGGTGCACTTCAAATTTTTCTAATGAATCTTCTTTTTGAGAAAAGTAACTATATAACTGTATAAGTACAAATCCTCCAATAGCTACTCCGATCTTGATATGAATCGGGTTCTGGACATAATATACACTCAAATAAAGTAATGTGGATGTATAGCATATTAAATTTATGATAAAAACCATTCTGTCTACTTTCAAAGAGATTTGTTTAAAATAAAAAAATCTAAGAGGTAAATAAAATATAAGAAATAAATAAAATATAGTCCATAAAATAGCAAGCAAATGCCAATTATTAGGTCTGTTTTCTATTATTTGATAAACGAAATAAATCTTCATTACTAAATATGGAATCTCAAATAAAATAAAATATATAATGTAATTTTCTTGGAATTTGTCTGAGTATGGACTTAATTTTCTAATTTTACTTAACAAAAGAGGGAAAAAAATCAAGGAAAGAATCAAGGCCAAATGTACTAAAATAAAGCCAGGCAATTCAAAATGGTTATAATATGTTACAATAACTGGCATAATAATCGAGCACAAGAATATTGAAAGGTCTAAAAAGTAAGGATTAAAATCAGAACCTTTCCAAGCGACTACTAAAGCTACTATGGCAAAGGTAAAAAAGTTGGTAAAGAAAAAATTCTCAATAACATGCTCTGGACTATCATTATCACCAGCATAAACATTTGATGAACATAGAAAAAAGATGAAGAAAATACCTTTTCTTGAGATAAAAGCATTAAATTTACTACAGAGATTATTAGGCCTAAAATGCATATTTAGTTTGATTATAAATGTCTCGAGTAGGTAAAGGTATGCAACCTTATATATATAATTCTATCATACAATATTAATCAATCGTTTTTATAATCGGATGGGTCAAAGTTTGAAACTTTTGTTATAATAGCTTTGTAGATTTTTAAGAACTTTTATAAAATAATTTTAAAAAAGCCGGAAACAGGTTTATGTCGGAATTTCATAAACAAAAACTTTATGTGCCTTATTCAAATACCGTAAATAGCTGGAATTCTTGCATTCGTCAAAGTAAATTAGATTATGAATTTATATATCTGCTTGTTTTGAGTCATTTATAAAGATAAAGACCTTCCTTATTGTTCATAGAATCAATAGTGATAACCATTTAAATCAAGACAAATCTGGAATGATAAAGATATTTTTAGTAAATACAATAAGGTAAACTAAATTATGCATGCATAAATCATGATAAACATTTAAATCAAAAAAACCAACAATCTTTTTTACAGAGTTACTCTGATTGGTTAAAATTTAAACTAATGAATTTCAGAAAAATGTTTACCGTATTGTCGCGAAATAACGCGTAGGGGTGAAATTACGAATTTCGGCCTAAATTAAGCTTAATTCGGGCCATTATTCTAAATAACCTCACCCATGTCTGTTATTTCGTGATAATACGGTATGCAGAATCACTTCAATTAGTTTCAATTAATCAATGATTAAACAATATCTCGATAACTAGAAAGTTACATTGAGGAACTCTTGAGAAAAGATCAGAATTTTGATCTGTAACACAAAAACGGTAGGACGATTGAAAATAGAAATCTTTGCTTTGTTGCTTTGTTGCTTTGTTGCTTTGTTCACTTAGAGATGTGACCCGCAGATATTTTTTATATGTAAAAACTGGATTAAACCAGTTTTACATATCTGCGGATCACATCACTAGTTACACTACGGAACCCATGGATACTGTCGACTCCTTTTAAACAAGAGATCAGAGTTGTTAAACATTCTGCACGAACTTAATCAACTCAGTTTTAACCAGACTCAAGCTCAAATAATTACTTGTTCTTATGTGAGCAACTAGCTAAACAAGGTGAGCAAAGTCTGTATATCATGCATGAAAATGGCTAGGCAAATCAGTGATGCAGTGCATGGAAGGGCCTAGTGTAATTATGCGGAGTTAGAATGGACTGGAATATGTGATGTGCATACATATGCATATGTAGTGATGTGCCGTTTATATGATACCCGAATTTTTTTCGCGTACAGTACGTACAGTACGTATAGTACGTATAGTGCGTATAGTGCGTAACTAGCGATTTGATTGGCTGGTAGAAAGGATCGGCAAAAATTTTCGCGTACAGTACGTACGTACGTATAGTACGTATAGTACTGTACGCGGCACATCACTATGCACATGTGATCATATTTTTGTTCAGTACATATGAATATTATATTTGAGTGCTAGAGAGTGAAAACCTGAACTTGAAATTTGGCCCTAAAAATTATTAGTTTCGGCGTTTTGCGTAATCTCAGTAATATATACAGTTGTATATTACTGAGATTACGCAAAACGACGGACATGATTTTTTAGGGGCCAAATTTCACGTTTCACCTTCTCACATTCATTTAATATCATCGATTTCATACAAGGTAAATTTTATAGCAGTTTCACATGAATTTGAGTGCTCTAATGAAAACTTTTTTTCAAAACGATTATTTCAACATTAAATGATTTATTTATAGTACATACTCTTATTTCTAACCTTCAACTAACCTAAACTATATTAAACTTAATAATGTACTAATTAAGCTTAAAGCCCTATTGAAAATAACAAATTTAGTTTGTCTTCAATGTGTTCTCAATAAATTGAAGAATTTAGAATTCCGGCAATTTTGATTAGAAATAATACGTCAAGAAATAATATGTACTTAATAGCAAATATAATATGCGTATTTCTTGAAACTTAAAACAGAATTTAGTTTGCTTCCAATGTGTTTATTCTCAATAAAGTGATCTAGACTTTTAGATTTCCTGCACCATATGTATATGCATTACACTATTAATGTAATTGACTCCTTAGAACAAGTGTCCTTAATTCGTGAGTAAGGAATTAATGATCGGCGGAATGTATTTTATGTCAAAACAATTAGACCCATAATCTGGAGTCAAAATTAAAATTTCTCGATTGCTGTCAAGTCAACAACTCCTGAGTTTTTAATAAAGTTGCAGAGAAAAATTTTCTCTTTCTAACGATGGTAAAATCATCGAAATTGACCAAATAGATCGTGAGATTGGTCAATTTTTGTTTTTGTGGTAATATCTCGCAATCTATTGGGTCAATTCCGATGATTTTGCCATTAGAAAGAGAAAAATTTTCTCTGTGATTTTTATTAGAAACTAAAAGATGTTAACTTGACAGAAATCGAGAAATTTTAATTTTGGCTTTAGATTATTGGCATTAATTGCTTTGACATAAAATTATACATGGGTGTCTAAATTACTTATCTTAATAAAAAATTATTTCGACATTTATTCTGTCGAAATTAAGTTTTCTTAATGGCGAATTTAATTTTCATAGTTGTCGAAATTTTTAGTGAAATTATTTAAATTCTTTATGCAAAAATACAATAGTCGTATAGTTTCTTTGTGGAGTTCATATAAACAACTAGCAATAATGAACTGTTTGTCGAAATTACTTTTTTTTCAAAAATAATTTAGACACCCATGTATATGTTTTACCCAACTGACAATCTAGTCCCGATTGTTAATTGGGACAGCCCAACTGAAAATTGGCCAAATTTAGCCCTAAACTCTGGGCTAAATAAATTTATAATGTCATTTGGGACATACATAAAATGCATCCTGCAGATTATTAACCAAACCCAAATAAAATTTTCGTCATGTGACTTTATCTTTTTTTATTCTCGTATTGCACAAATACTGAAATAAGCATTATGGAAATTAAGATTTTCAGATTGTCTGAACAACTCTATATAAAGTTAATGCACAAACTAACATATTGAAACCAATTTCTTAAATTATCAACTTCAATAAAGTGTAGAAGTTTAGAATCCTTAATCTCTACGTGAAAAGAATGCACTAAGAGTAAATGTACTGGTACGTATGCGGTACGTACGTTGTGACGGTGAAATGTGACCTAGCCGCAGTTATGAAAACGTGATTCAAGCCACATGACTCGGGACCCGAAATGCGGATTGATCGACAAAGCGAAGGCATTTAATCATTGAGAACAATATTAAGGCATCGCTCGTATTCACATGGTGGGAACTAAAATCATTGTCATGTAAATGAGTATGAATTGCTTATCGTTAGCCATAGAATCCCCCGATATTCTAAATAGCTATATTATACTTATAATGATCTTAATCATAGTAGCAAAGCCTCAATGTTCATGATGTATAAAAACTCCTTGATTTCATGTAACTAACGACAGCAGATAAAGAATATGTAAATAAGAATCATAATTAAATAAAAGACCATTTAACCCAGGGATCCTAGTGGCAGTAGGATCCTTGGTTCTCGGACCAATCTTCCACGCCCTCTTTCGAGTAGTCTTCATTTTGGTTGTTTTTCGACAGTGAAACATATTTTTTAGGTGTAGTACCATTTTTCACTGTCACAACGTACGTACGTACGGTACCAGAAGTCTGTAAACTGTAAAAATCGCAATTTCTTACAAAGCATATAAAGTTGCATATTAAAACCAAATACGTATTTCTTAAATTATTAGCATCACTAAAGTGTGTACATGCAGTGCAAGGAAACTAAAAATCACAATCACAACTCCTTATAAAGTATAAACAAGTAATATATTAAAATCAAATGCAGTATTTCCAAATGATTAGTGTCGATGATGATTTTTAAATTTTCTGCCTGGTGCATAATCAAGTAGCACATTGAAATCAAATATTTCTTAAATTATCGACTTCAATAAAGTATTACTAACTTTGTTGATGTTATATTTGATTTCAATTTGCTACGTACTTGTTTATGTTCCCTATAAGGAAATTGTAGTTTTTAGATTTCTTGTGCCGTACGTACGTACGTACATATGTGCATATATATGCACATCGCATATTCCAGTCCACTGTAATGCAGGGTCTATTATAATATGTGCCGTACCTTGTATAATGTTTAAGCCGCTGTATCTTTTCTCTCTTGCCAACATAAAAATCATTGTAATAAACAATAAGTAACTAGTCGGTTAAATAACTAATCTGGCAGTCCCATTCTCGCTTGTGCCAGTACGAAAGTGGAAGACAGTTGAATTAGTAACCTGCCAAGGTTATAATCTGTGTGGGGTGAACAACGAAGAGAAATAACCCTATAAAAAAGTTTATACAGTCATTGTAGGCATTGTCCAAAAAAATGATCGGAACGTAAAACAAGGAATTTT